CTACTCTCTGGCAAATAAGTTGTTTATATTTTGCCCATGTCTTGAGACTTTCTGTGAGAAAGTAAATTTAAAGGTGATGAACTAATCAATCTGGCAGAGGAAATTTCAGGGCAGCATAGCATTTAGGCAGTGGCATGAATATTGCTAGTGGCCTTTAGCCAAGTTTGCAATAATAAACAAGAACAAAAAGCAGAGTATAAAGATTTGAAAAACTTGCAAGTTAGCCTGATAAAACTGGGGCCAAGAAAGGTGTGGTTGTTAAAGAGATTACAGCCACTAAACATATGCTAAGTAGTTGCCAAAGAGACACTAGGAAAGATGGCATCTCAGGAATTGGCAAGACCACACCCGTGTCAGGCTCAACTGAGTAAAAGTAAAAATTTCTTTGAGAAGAGACCATTGGAGTGCACAGCTTGTACAAGGGAACCTAGGAAGTTGTTTTGCTATGCTCAGCCACAGAGGCAGAGGCTGCTACAGTCATGGTCCTAGGAGACTTAGCTACTGCTTGAGATGGTGCTGGTTACCAGTGATAAGTCCTGTTTCCTCACATGTTGAAGTATAACATTAAGACACACGCTGAAGCAAGCATATAAGCATATAAAGCAGGGTTTATTTAAAAAGGGGGCCATAACTTGTATTCTGGTATCCCCAGAAGTGAGGATGTTCTGCCTTTTTATATGTCCTAGACTTCCCTTGTTCTCCTGCTCCCTTGCCTTCCTGCTTATGTGACTAGGCCCAGTAAATGCTGGGTGGGATGGCCAAAGGTGGGCAACAGGTGATCACTCCTAGGGAGGAGTGATCGGGCAGGAAGGGGGCCCAGGGCGAATTAATTAGTAACTTTTACAACTCCCTGTAGGGAGGGACAATTCCTGGGACAGGTTACTTTAGCAACAGGTTGGAGCTGGAGCAGGTTCTTGATAAGGGTTGAGGAAAGGCTCTGAAGGAATTAACATTTTAATCCCTCCATTCTCCGGATCTGACCCTTGCCTATCTACCTAATTCTGGCTTCAATGGTAACATACCTTGAGATCAACCACAGTGTACTAGTTCTGTAGGAATGCAGGATGATGGAGTTAGGGAGTCATGGATGCTTCCATTGAGATTTCAAAGACCTGGGAAGGCAGGCAAAATGTAGCAGGGCTGAAGTCCTTGTAGGTTGCTTCTGAGAGGATGACACATGAAGATGTGAGAAGGAAGGTGAAGGTGTAGTAGAGACCTCTGAAATTAAGAGATACCAGTAACATGAAATGTATGCCTAGTAAAGCTGTAGGAATCAAGCAGAGGTAGCCAAGAAAGAAGCCATGTGAGCTGCAACCAGCAAAAGACCACAAGGGAGGAAATACATAAGCCCTTTGGAGAGAACATCACAATGCCATGTGCCTGGACATGGAGCTACAGAATTTGTTTTCCAAGCTGCATTTCAGTCTTGTTTTGGTCCCATCCCATCTTTCTGTATCCCTATTTCTCCCTTTTGGAATGAGAATGCTTCCTCTGTGTCATTATGTATTGGACATAGGTTAACTTGCTTTTGATTTTTATTCTCACAGTTAATAGTTTGCCTTGAGTCTCAGATGAGATTTTGGACTTGGACTTTTTGGGCAATGCTGGAGCTGTTAAGACTATGGGGACTCTTCAAAATGGACTAAATGTATTTTGCATTGTGAGATAAGTATGAGCTTTTGGGAGCTAGGGATACAATGTTATGGTTGAGATATTAAGTGTCTCACAAAAACTCTTGTGAGACAATTCGAGAATGTTTAAATGACCAGATTATGAGAAGGATTAATCCACTGATATGGATTAACCAGATGGTAACTGCAGGCAAGTAGGTTGTGACAGAAGGAAGTAGGTCAATGCCTTTGGGGTTTATATTTTGTCTCAAGGGTGCTGAGTTTGCCCTGCTTCCTGTCTATCATGTTCTGCTGCTTTCTTCTGCTATGTCCTTCTGCCATGATGTTCTGAGGTCAACTTAGACTCACAGTTATGGAGTCTGCCAACCATGAATTGAACCTCTGAAACTGTGAGCAAAATAAACTTTTTTCCTCTAAATTGTTCTTGTCAGGTCTTTTGGCCACAGCGACATAAAAGCTCATGAAAATAGTGACAAATATACAGCCATGGTCCAGGATTCAAGGGGTAGGCTTGGGAGTGGATCCCCACTTTTACTCCTAATGAAGCACATGCAAAATTTTTGCTTTCCATCTCTGTAATTTTCTGCTTCTCCTAAAGAACAATGCTCCCACTAGGGCATACCAGCAACAGTTCAATTAAGTTGAAAGATGAGACAGTCACTTGACTATTTTGAGCTTTCTGCTATTTAGCCAACATACCAAGAAGGGATCATTGAACTACCTGAAGTGATTGATCACTTCCAAGCAGAATGATTGCTCACACCAAGCTGCTACACAATGGGAGAAGGAAGGAATACGAATGGAATGCAGGAGATTCTTTGGAGATGTTACATGGTACTTAGAATTACCAGGCTCTGTGATGTGACGTAATGGAAAACTACCACAATCCAACAGAAGTAGAAACTCTAATAGCTCAGATCCTTCAGGAATGCAGGTTTAGGTGTATTCAAAAGGCAAGGAACTACCAACAGCTGAGATATTTACTGAAGGTAAAGGGAATATTAAACAGGTAACTGAAGAGAAGAAAGATAGTTATAAAAATAGTAGCCATGACAATTTTACTAGTTGTAGATATAAGTACTGTAATATTTATGGGCATTTTCCCTCATTTTGATACATTTGTATATATATTAACCAACTTTTTTTTTTTCTGACTGGGTACATAGCTCTGTGGTAGGATGCTTGCTTAATATGTACAAGACCTTGGGTTTAATCCCTGGCCTGTTAATAGTAGTTAACCTTACAACTTATTATGTATGTTTTGGAATGTCAAAGGGATATTGTGACCCACTAAGAGGAGGACTGGGCATTGCTCAAAGAAGACTCTTTATCCTCTCTTGGGATAGGAGTGAGCTGATTTTAGTTGTATGAGAGAAAGCTGCATCATAAGGGCTAAAGTAGGATTCTGATGAAGGCTTTATTTAAATATTAATTATGGATAATAATATGAGGTCGAGGTGACAAGAGAAGTTCTGAGTGGTTTTTATACTATCAATTTTTGCTACATTGGAACTACGTTTCCCAGAACTCTCTTTCCTTTATAGTTCTGGTTGAAATTAGAACTGCTGGCTGACCCTAATAGAAACTCACTTTTTTTTTTTTTGGTTCCCCATAATTTTCCTGGATAATTTTTATTTTTTTTTTACCATGTACTGAGGTCATGTTAAATGTGTAGATTAACTTAGGGTGAATTGATTATTTTAGTAGGTTAAGTCTTTCTATTCCAAGAAGAACATTCTTTTTAAACATTCAAGTTTACTTTTATAGTTTTCCCATATAGAACTTTCATTTATATAAATCTTGCATATTTTGTTAAGTTTATTCTTAGGTCCTTGTCCTTTTGTTGCTTTAGGTAATGGGATTTCTTCTATTATTTAGGTTTAAAGTTTGCTCTCTGTGATCGATAATTTCATGTATTACTTTGACAAGGATATAATGTCCAGTTTGGTTAAACGCTTGTCAAGATGTTGCTTTGAAGGTATTTTGTGGGTGTGATTAACATGGATCATCTGTTGATTTTAAGCAGATTACCCTCATTAAAGAGGGTAGACCTCAACACTCAGTTGAAGCCTTAAGAGACCAAAGACTCAGGTTTTCAGAGAAGCAGAAATTCTTCCTCAAGACTCCAACATAGAAACTCTGCCCTAGTTTTCAGCTTGTTGGTCTACCCTGAAGGTTTCAGATTCACACCAATATTATCTGTAACATCAAATATTACTTGAATTTCCAGACCTGATGGCCCACCCTACAGATTTCAGACTTGCGAAACCCCACGATCATGAGCCAATTCCTTAAAATCTCTCTCTATACACATACACACTATGGGTTTTGTTTCTTGGAAGAACTGCAACTAATACACTTCTTAATGCCTGGCTCTGAAACCCAGAGTTCACTAGGGCAATTAATTAACTTACAGTCTTAGAACCTAATTCCTCATCTGTAGAACTGGTATAAAATTACCCAACTTATGTAGCTATTGTATTAACATTGTATGTAGAATACTTTAATGTTCTTTGTTCATACTAGGTGCAGAGTAATCTATTATGATGAAAGGAGATATACCCACTTGGTGCTCTGAGTCATATTAAATAATTTAATCATCCTGAGTTTCAGATGCTATTAAATGTGACATAGGCATTTTATTTGGCACATAGTAATATCACACCAATATTATCTTCTGGGCGATTATACATACCCAGAATTCAATTATTACTTGAGGTTAGTTCTTGCTACTTACCTGTCAGGTGTAGGGCAAGTTTGTTCCCATTAACCTACTTTCAATTTAGATACTAATCACCACCACATGAGTTTGTTGTTAGACATAAATATGGTTAGGTGAAAGTGCTCAGCCATACAGATGTTTAACGTATTTTCTAGATGTTACGGGAATAATTAGAGTTTCAAAAATGGGCTGGATCAGTTGCTGCACTAAAGAGGAGCTTATTGCTTCATCATCTAGTGAAGACAAAATCCACAAGATCACAGTGGGGGTTATATTTCTTTTAACAATGAAGAGCAAAGAAGAAGAATACAAAGGAGACATAAAGTTTAAATATAAAAGAGATGCCACAGGAAGATGATAAAAGGTCTCATAGACTTTCATCCATTTATCCAATCACACGCATGTGGTACCGGATCTCATCATCAGTTGGAGAGTATCTAGTACTTTCCAATGCTTGCCACCTCGCTCATGGTCAGTCATTGCAACTAAGAAGTTAGCCACATCAACAACTTTTCCAGCAGGGAAGAGCTTGTTCAGTCTGAAGTATCATAGGATGGAAAGCATTAGAAATAGTTCCTGCTGAAAAGCTTTGACAGCTTGGGGAGAAATGTGACAATATGAACATGCAAATGACATATCCAGCTTACCAAACTGGTGAAGAGTTCTTTACCTTCTCTCGTTTTCTAAAAATATGAAAAGCTAACAAAAAACAGTTTTGATTAGAAGGCCATGCAGTCTCCTTTTTCCCTTTGTCTTCTCAATATCATCATCTTTTTTTTTTTTTTTCATTGCATACTCTTATTTCTTTTAGTCTCGGATTTTTTCCACCCGTTCTGAGACCTCCCTCACCCCCTTCTCATTCTTGAGTTCTTGGTTCCCCTCTCCGCCCCGCAGGCCCGGGAGGGTCCCGGGGCCTCACCTGTCAAGGGAGCGCTGGAGCTTGGCCCCGCCAAGGGACTGGCAATGACGTAGTAGGGAGGATGGGGCCCGCGAGGTCCGTTGACGTCACTGTCGCAGCGGTCCCGAACGATGCCCAAGAACGGGAATTATCAAGGAGGGAAAGCCGGCGGTGTCCCCGCGGTCAGGGCTGAGTGCGCCACGTGCTTTGGGTTTATGGTGTCGCTACACCGAAATGGCACCTCTCCAGCGGGCTGAGCCCATCCCACACCCTCAGCGCGCTCCAACGCCAGAGTTTAAAGCTGATGGGGATGCCCCCAAACCGCAGGGGCTTATGCGCACGCGCCTTGGGTTGCGGGGAGACTGGATGAGACAAATGGGGGAGGAGGGAGATGTGCGGCGGGAGGGGGTCCAGGACCGAGCGCTGGGTGCGGCACGGGAGGAAGGCTGCTCTCGCCCTCGGCCGCTAGCCGGTCTCTCTGGGCGCTTTGACGGCGGCGCGGGGCGCTGGGCCTGCGGCGCGGCGTCGTGACGTCACGGTGGCGGCGGCCGTGGTTGGCGCAGGGTCCGCGGCTGCAAAGTGTGAATGTGAAGTCAGGCTCCGGGGGAGGGGAGGGGCAGGGCTCCGGCGGCTGCTGCGGCCCGAGCTGGTCGCTAGTCCCGAGCCCGCGCGCTCTGGGTCTGGCCGCTGGCTACAGCCGTCTTCTTTGCACCGCTCAGCTCCATCCTTGCTCCGCTGTCCAGGACACGCACCTCTTGGCCCGAGGAGCCCTGAGGCGGCGACGTTCCCCTTCCGACTTTACCGGTGTTGCCCCGGCTTGCACCCAGTCCCCCTAGCCCGCAGCCCCGCGCGCGCGGGTCCTGGTAACCGGTGCCGCGGTCGCCGCAGCTCCTTCCCGCCGGCGACCGGGACGGAAGGCTGGGCTGAGGGAGGCGTGAGCGCGGCTTCTCGGTCCGGGGTCGGCGCGCGCCCGCCCTGCCCCCGCCTCGGCCCGGCGCCCTGAGCCGCGGCCCCCTCGCAGCTCAGGGGCCGGCGGCCGCGGCAGGGCGGGCGCCGCGCGGAGGCAGGGCGGGCGTATTCAATGGAAGTATGTTACCAGCTGCCGGTGCTGCCCCTGGACAGGCCGGTCCCCCAGCACGTCCTCAGCCGCCGAGGAGCCATCAGCTTCAGCTCCAGCTCCGCGCTCTTCGGCTGTCCCAATCCCCGGCAGCTCTCACAGGTAATCACCGCCGCTGCGCCGCGGGCCCACACTTGGGGGCTTCTGTCTTTTGTTTCCCTCCGCCCACCGGCTTCACCCTCTTGACACTTGCCTGCACACTCAGCCCGAGCTTTGTTCATTGTTTGGGGATTTCTAGGCTGGCCCCTCGATTCGAGAGACTTATCTTTCCTTCCTTGCGACTGTCCACCCTCTGTTCTCCGGCCTCCTCAAACCCCGGTGGGAACACTTTGACCCTCCGCAGGCCAGTCACTCTCAGTGCCCAGAGGTTTAAGCCTCAGGAATGACTTAGTCCTCCTTCCTCGACGTCTTGGTCTGGTAATGGGACCCCGTTTTCTTAGCTGCGGCCCCCACCCCAAGTACACCTGTTCACCTCTGACACACCTGTCTCCCCGTAACACTCCCCCCGCCCCGCGCACACACACCTGTGTCGGGTTCTACTCTCTCCCGCCGCAGCTCAGGCGCGCCCCGCGGTGCTCCGATAGTCCTGCAGTTCTCTCTGAACAATAGGCCTAGGTACCCCCGTTGTTGCCTTCTTCTCCCCTGCTCCTTCGTTTCTGCAAATGGGCCTTAAAAGTGTCAACAGGGGAAGCAAGTCTGCAAAGTTGATAGCCACTAATCAGTTTTGTTTTTAATTTGGTAAAAAGATTTTAGGAGAGAAGCCATTGATGAGCACTCACAGGAAGATTTTGTTTGAATGGTCCAATACCAGTTGCTCCTGAGAATTTGTGTTTTTTCTTTGGTAATGCTCTTGGCCCAACTCCTTAGTCCTGGCTAATTTTGATTGCCAAATTTAAAGTAGGCAGGCAAAAAGAATTTTTTTTTTTTGTTTGCATGTGAACTGAGTGCCCTCACTGCCTGCTGCAGTTAGTTCTGTGTTTATGATCACTTTTTAAATATTTTTATTTTCCAAATATTATTGCTTAATGTTATCTTCTATGGGGGTCTATTTTCTAACTCCAGTTACATTCAAAGTATCTTGAACAAGGTCTGCATTTTTTTTTTTTTTTACAGCTAATGTGGACAGCACCTTTTATAAATTTTGCCTATAATAAGTGTCCACTAAATAGTTATCATTTATATTTTTGCCTAAATTTTAGAAAGAGCAAGAGCCTATATTGAGTATCCTTTTGCAGCTTTTTTTTAATTTAAAGCAGACTTCTTTCACAGCACAAGGTAGTATGCTAATGAGATCAGTGTAGACTTGTAAGAATGACTAAAATATGAAGTGGCATTTCAAATAATATTACATTATTACTAATTTTGAAGGTTAGATCTGTGACCTGTGTTTTTAATACTGCTTAAAGCATTTCCAGCTTCCAGAATTAATGTTGAAGAGGTATTAATGCATTGTTGAAAAGAGTTTTAATAATAATAATTAAAGGTTTTTAATGGTGGCAACTTTTTTTCAAATCTAACTATTATTTTACTTCCTCAGATTAGCAGGCACTTCTAAATATTATTTTACTTCCTCAGATTAGCAGGCACATGACTAAGACCCATTTCCATTATGACTAAATAATAAAGGCAATCACTGATCATTTATAAAAGTATAAAATACGTATAACATTTTTGTGTTCCCTGAGGAGAAAATGAATGAGAGGGAAGATTCCAAGGGATTTAAAATGAGGCTGATGCCAGGGGTGTTACCTGATGCCTTAATTAATCCATAGAGACCAAGTTTAAGCTACACTTTTTGTTGATTTATTTTCTGGATTTGGATTTAAATGGGTAACAGAATTAGAAAAATATGACTGTGGCAGATAAATATTGTAGGGTTACACATCATATTTTGTTAATGAAAATGTTTAAAAAAGTTTCCAAATCCTAAAAATAATATAAAGGAGCTTCTCAAACGTTGGACAGAAAATTTCACAAATTAACATTGATACTAGACTTCAGGATGCTGAGATGTATGTTTATCATTATCAAGGCTTTGCATATTTTTTTTAAATATATTTTTAGTTGTCAATGGACTTTTTTTTTTTTTTTTTTTTTAAGTGGTGATGAGAATCAAAGGCAGTGCCTTACGTATGCTAGGCAAGAGCTCTACCACTGAGCTACGACCCCAGGCTGGCCTTGCATATTATTTAATAATAAAGTTTATGTTGATATTGACTTTTTTGGGGATGGAAAGGAATTTGTAATAGAAAAAAGGAAGTAGGAAACCTTGAAATCTTATTTAGAGCTCTATAAAATAAGTATTTGATTAAATAAAAAGTTTTCTTTACCCTGGAGTCTTTAGTTCCTAAAACCACAGTATAGAAATTATAAAATGTTTAGGCAGTTTTATAATTTTATTTAAGAGACTTAAAATTATTTTTAATACATTAAGTAGAAGTTATTTTTATTTTTTCTACATTAAAATCGGTTCAAAACTAGCAGTCCTTTTTAGTTCTTTATTTTTGCCATCGTTTTGGATCTCAGTTCAGTTCATAGCAGGTAATTAATATTTGTTGAATGAGTGAATAAATAATTTTGTCACCTTTGGTCATCAGTTTTAAATTTGAAAAAAAAATGTAAGGACATCAAAATAAAGCAGCTACTTGTTTATCCAAAATTTGGTTTAGAACTTGTTATTAGAGACTAATAGATCCAGGAAATAAGCAGAAAAAGACTCTAAGGAACCAAAATAGAATTGGAGATCCACTCAAAGTTTCTTAGATTTAGACAAATTTTTCTTAGTTGTGGGATGAGAGGCAGCTATGGCCATTTGCACTGATACCAGCAGAGGTTGACAGCAGACATAGCAAAAACTAGGAATGGTAAGTAATACTCTTCCAAGCCTGCAAAGTTTTAAAAAGATACCCTGGGGACCTTTAGTTTAGGGCTTGAGTATTGGCTACTAGGCATTGACATAACAATTATTTGAATAATAGTTATTAGTCAAAATATTGCCTAGTAAAGTCTGTTTTTAAACGTTGAAAGATTTGTACTAAAAAAAAAGAAAAAAGATTTTTTATGTGGAATACTAACTCTTCTAAGGATTCCAGGTAAATGAGGCATTAACTTTTTGTTTCCAGTCAGGTTGTATACTACCTTTTCAAGTGGTTAATGTGAGTTTTTAAAATTATTTGATTAGTAAAGATAATAAGTGAACTCTGTTCTTTGCAATTTTGGGATATCTATTGTTGATAGCTGAATTCATTTCAGAACATTTATCCTTCAGAAGCAAGTTTGTTCTTAGGGGGGAAAAACTATTGATAAGACAGAAATTGTGTCTTGTTCATCACTGATGCTTTACATAGATAGATGCTAAGGAAATGTGGTGGTTGAGCTATGTATTGATGGGGATGTCAGAGCACTGCACTTGGAGAATTATTTCAGTCTAATTTTCTATATACTGGAAACAAATATTATTTAGGTTGGACTTTTGAGGTTTAATTTTTAAACTATATCATAAAAAACAAGTATTATTGAACAAAATATTGGGACTTAACATGAAAAGATGCGTTTTTAATACCATAATAAGCCAAATTTGAATTCTAATTTAGCATTTGTCTTTTTTAAAAGAAACTATATCACAAATATTTATTCATAGAACATCTATGAGACGCCTTTTATTAAGTGTGAAAAAAAGGTAAAGAATTGGTGGTTTAAGGAAAAAAATTCCTTGTGACCCTGCCATTCCTAGCCAGGTTTTCCTTTGTATGCCTTACCTTCCTTATACGTACAAACTTCCCATTGTAGTCATTGTGTTTGTTCTCTCCTGTCTTTAGCAGTGTTTGTAGTATAGGATAAATTATGAATGTTCCCCTTGGACCCAAAATCCCTTGGATAAGAATTGGTTCCTTCTTCAAGAAGCTTACAGGATTATGAGGGGGAAAAGGTAGGATTATATGGGGTATAACTAGTGTATTGGTGTTACCAAGGTATGATGAAACTACAAGGAAGGTACACCAAAATATTTGCAATAAATTAGATGTAGCTTCATGTAGTAGTTGAGACTTCTGCTAAGGACCACAGGTTAAGCAGGTGTTTCTAGACAAAATTGGTCCAATGCAAGGGGGAATAGAAGAAAGGATCACCCGCATGGGTATGTAATATGTAGATTAGCACAATTGAATAGAACCTCTGTGATGGTGGGCATGTTCTCTGCACTATCCAGTATGAAAGTCACTGCCATATGTAGGTAGTGAAATTTGGCTAGTATGCTAAGGAAGTTAATTTTCAGTTTAGTTTTATTTATTTAAATAGCTACATATAGCTAGTAGCTACTATATTGGCAGAGCAGATGTATAGATCATTACTTAATGATCTTTAGAGGTATGTCAGGTTGATCTGTCAGCAACACATTTACCAAATGTTGAACATAAATTTGTGTTTTTAGGTTTTTGTTGTTGTACAAAAAACTTAATAACTTTACATTTGTTTGATAAGGTCTATAGAATCACTGGGTTGGGCCCGGTGTGGTGGTGCATGCCTGTAATCCCAGCAGCTTGGGAGGCTGAGGCAGGAGGATCACATCCCTTTCATGTCCAGTTATATATTATATTACACTTTTACTGTAGTAGATGTACTATGGTACCCTGAGTTTCTTATAAATTACAGTAAGCAAGAATATGTGGTTTCAGGAATGATGTTTGTACTATTTGTACTTATTCTTTTTTTTTTTTTTTGCGTTTATTCTTTTGTGAAATCTCATTTGTATGTCCTGTACTTTATTAATGAGGGCACTTATATATCCACCATCTCTTTGTAAATGTGCATTATTCCAAATTATTGTTACCATTATAGTTGCATTTTCATAAGCCTGCATACAGAAACTTATAACAGGGGATAGTGTGTGCAGTTGATGATTCCCTTTGCAAGGGATCTGTGCCACTGATTTTTGTGACTGACATTGAACTTGTCTCTTGCTTATATTTTTCTTTAGCAGGACTTTTGGATTGTTGCTCCATACCTCCACCTGCTGGTAGAGAGGGCTCTTTATTTTCAGAATATGATGGCTGGAGGGAGAAGACAAGATGGCAAGTCAGGGCAGAGCAGAATATGGGGAAGAA